AGAGAGAGAGAGAGAGAGAGAGAGAGAGAGAGAGAAAGAGAGAGAGAGAGTTGAGGTTGATGGATGCGGTTTTGCTGTTTCTTTATCTCTTCCCCCTCTGCCCCTGTGTATATGCGTTTTGATTACGGCTCAGGGCGGCTTGCCCGTTCTTATTTTTGTTTCGGCCTTTCTGGAATCTGGACTCGAATTTTGCTCACTGTCTTAGTGGCACTATGTATATGATTGCTGAATGTATGGATGTTTTGCTTGCGAATCTTTGTCTTGCTTTTTGTATCGAACTTTTGTCTGCATCAGATATAGATGGATAAGAATTAGGCTCTGATCGTGATTTTAGTCTCGTTTTTGCTTACCTCACGATGAGGTTGTGATATGGTTGCATCTTGCATGATCAGTGACTCGAAATCTGGCCCCGTAAACGCCACGCGAGAACACGTGTAAACGTGATCCAAATCGCGCCCTTACACGCATTCCCGTGCGACGATTCTCCCGCCCAGACGGGACTCGCGGTGACGAGATCCCGACCCGCGCCATCCCACCTACGATGACACCATGACGCGATCTTGGGGGTCAGACTCATCCTATGACCTGGACTATTTCACCCCTATAATAAAAGAGCTCATAAGGACACGATACCCCTGTCACACGGAGAATCGATTATGTCCGCGGGAATTCCACTGTGCCACCACTAGCGACCCGCGGTGCTCTGATTTCCCTTCCCCCGACCGTACCTACTACTTCACCCATCCGGGATTTGTTGAGATCACCACCAGTTTCCCTCCTTTCCGCCTTCTTCTTCCATACCATCAACTCAGCGTCGTTCCGTGGCCGGCCATAGCCCCCTATTGGCCCAGTACGTTTTGCGCAAATTGTAGACGTAGCAGCGAACAGAGAACTCTGGAACTCCGAAGACCCCATCCAAATACGCGGAGGCCCGCGCCGCATGGCGGACCCCGATGACCTAACTTTTCGGGACCGCCTCCGCCACGGAGGAACTTTCCCGTCAACCGCCACCCTCACTGCCCAGGCCCCTTGGACCGTGAGCTTCTCGCGCACGCATCCCTCGTCCGCCTAATTACATTCATATCATTAAGACTCCCCCACTTTCCCCAAAAATCCTTGGCACACCCCTTTTCGCACTTCCAGGCCCACACTCCACTCCGAACAGGAAGTCGCACCGGGCGTGAGGTTGGGCGTCACAGTACCAGTCCCTCATCACGGTGATGAGGTGGGCGGACATTGCCAATGGGGGAAATCGGCAGTGCTAGCTCCGAGCAATGGCTAGTCACTGCAGCTCTCCCAACCCCCCCCAACCCCACATGGCGGTGTCTGATGGCCAATATTGTCGCTGCATAGCAACCAACAACATCAGCCATTCACATTTTGAGAGTGGCGTGGCGAGGCCCTTGGTGAGGGCCTGATTGCACTACTCTCTGGTTGCACTTACTCGCCAAACTTGGCGATTGAAAAATATGTCAGACTGCTCACCACACCTTCGGGCCTGGTTGCACTACTCTCCATACGCCAAGCCTGGTTGTACTTACTCGCCAAACTTGGCGTTTGAAAAATATGTCAGACTGCTCGCCACACCTTCGGGCCTGGCTGCACCAGTTTGGCAAGTAGGCGCCTGGTTGCACTTAGAGCCTCGTTCCACTGCTCGCCATCCGCCCCAAGTGGCGAGGTCGCCACCATTCCACTACGNNNCCAACCGCCACGAAACGATACCTGTCAGAAAATGCAAAAAAATGTGCATGGTGGCCCCTCATTTCTCCCGCCTGTCATACAATTTTGTGGAGGGTGGTACGAGTGACCTCTCCACGACTTGGTTCCTGTGGCGGCCGCCCTGACACCGCGGGTATGATGCATGGCCTGGGTTGTCCCGTAGTGTGGGCGAGATTTCGCCATCCGCCATGAAAACAGAGTCCTGTAGAGCCTTTGTGGCGAGACATCATCACCGTTCCATTCACCCGCCATCAGAGTCGGCCGGGATAGTTATCGCATTGCCCATGGCAGTGGTGAGGAAATGGAACCATGCACCTTTTTCGGTCGTGAAACTGCGAAACTGTTATTTTCCGGACCGCCACCGTTCGCCAGAGCTCATGGCGAATGGCGAGCAGTGGAACGAGGCCCTTACTTGCCAGACTTGGCGAATGGAAAATATGTCAACTGAAAAAAAAAAGAAAAAAAAGTCAGACTGCTCGCCACACCATTGACACAAGTTGTGGCAAGTGTTTTCGGTTTCCCCCACCTGTGCACGGGGGTTTGTGGAGGGTGGTCCTCAGACCTCTCCACAAAACAACTTTCACGAACCAGGGCACTCAGTGCCCTGGTTCCTGTCGGTGGCCGCAGTAGGTCACAGGTGGTAGGGAGGGTAGGAGAGTGTCGTTTCCCCTCAAGGAAGGCTGTGTTATCAGACCTTCCCTCGCCCGAAGTAGGTCGGGGTCAGGCCGCCTTATTAGGCTGTGCATCTCATACAGGAGGCTTACAGTAGACTACAGTAGATCACAGGAATTCAATGGAGCACAGGTGTACATCGTTGGTCACCCCTCCACCTACATTGATACACATTGGTCAGGAGAGGAGAGCGCAGCACAGGACGTAGGGGTCAGCACCACCGCAGACCCAGTCCCAGCAGTACTTCAGCAGACAACCTTGGTAGGAACACACAGAGAGTGGCTTGTATAATGCATTCGGGTCTCAGCAGTCCCGTAAAAAGCGAAACCGGCTAATGCTGCCAGAGTCACACCGGGTTGGATTGTGGGGTCCCGAGCCCCCTGCTATTTTCACTGGTCCCACTTTCAAAAAAACAAAACAAAACAGAACAACTTTCTGGAGAGTGCAGGGCTTCACGAGTGCAGATCAGGCAGACAATTTTTTCCAACTTTTCTGTAGAAGAAATATAGTGGCGAGTAAGTGCTGCAACCAGGCCTCCAGTTGGACACGATTCTCATTTTTTTCACTCTGGCGGATGGCGAGTAGTGCAACTAGGCCCTCAGAGAGAGTAGTGGAGCAAGGCACGAGTTCGGGCGTACTCTCACGAGCATTTGGTGAGTGGTGAGGAGGAGAGGCCCTTCCTCTCCTTCGAAAAAACAGAGTCAGGAAACAGAGCACGGACAGCCACAGGCAGGACAGCACGCGGGAATGGCGTATCAGTAGGCAAGAGAGTTGAGATCGCGGAACAGCAGAGAGCCGAATGCCGTACTTCTACACGTATTTGACAGCCCCGCCTGCTCCGCTTACTCCGCCCGCCCCGCCCGCCCGGCTCGCCCGCGCGTCTCCGCCCACCTCTACCGTGCGCGTAGCGGCGGGATGCTTTCGGCGCTGTCGAGGTGCTAGATCGGAACTGCCTTGTCAATCGAATCAACGTGGGAGATCGGGGGGTTGTCTTGGATTGGATGAGCCCCGGTGGGATCAGCCCCCTGCGGGACAACTGCCGGGAACAACTTTTCCTGTCGGGACTGATCTGCAGGAGGAAAACGACAACGAGGAGGGGTCAGACGATGACGACGACGAGAAATGCCACGTGGACGATGATTAGCGCAAGGGCTACGTCGTCGCTTGGCATCGGCTTGTCGGTCTGTCTGCCTCTCAACTGGAAATGGGCAGCACCGGCTCTGCTGCTGCAGCGTAGAGGTGAGATCGAGGGGAGGGGGAAAGTGTGGGGGCGAAGGCGGAAGGGGGGAAGGAGTTGAGCGCGCGGGATAAGTACGGTGGGATCAGCGCAACCGATGCAGATCGAACGAATAAAATAATTGCTGCAGCAGTCCCCCGCGTGTTTCTTCATGTAGACATAGATATATATTATACGATATATATATATATATATATATATATACTCGTTTGTTGTCCTCTTCTCTCTCTCTGCCTACGGTTTACCGGGCAGTTCTGTTTGTGACGATATATATATGTATATATTTTCGGAGGCTCGCCACGATATTGCGCCTCGTCACACTACTCACGGAATGTGCAAAATGGAGCATGTATCTTCCGCAAAAAACGTAGAAAGATACAGCCACCATTGGTTTTGTCCTTTTCACATTCCGTGAGTGGTGGTGCAGCGATGCATTTTCTTGAATTCTTGCCCTTCATACAGCACCTAACTGCCATTTCCTGGGCGAATGACCACATTCAGTGGAAAGTTCTCTAGCTTGACTGCGCTCTCTCGCGGCAATTACTGAGCAACCCGCCGGCCGTTGTCTTGGGTGACCACTACTTTGGCGGGAATCAAATCGAATCCAAGTTCAAAGAACTTGGCGGGAAACCAAAAAAATCGACCCAAGTTCAAAGAACTGGCCTGCAACGAACCGTTTTTTATCCTGGTGTGCGCGCGTGGAGTGCAGGGGTGCTTGGGCTGGGCAGGGCGGGGAGCATGTGTGGATGCGCGGGGCGGGGACGAATGGGTCTCGCTTCACTCCACGAGTCTCACGACTCGTGAAAAATTTCGAGAGCGCGTCCTGGGTTGTGCGCGCCCCGCCGAAATGGCCTACACGTAGACTTTTTTTTTTTTTTTTTGTTACAATGTACACGTAGACTTCGGTCGTGGCTGCACTTACTCTTTCTTTTTTTTCTTTTTTTTTTCTTCTTCTCGCTGCACTTACTCTACTAGATCGTCCCGCCCATGAACCACTCTTCTCACGCTCTTGCAAGAAACCGTGGAGTGCAGTGCAGCCTGGGGCAAGGTCCCACTTGCTCTGTTTTTGAGATTATGACCGTTGATCTGTGCTATCTACGGTCAGTATCTCTTAATTCGTGCAAGTGGGACTTAGCCGCTAGTTTGTCCATGCAGACTCTAGAAATCCAGGCTCGCTCTAGAAATCCCGCGCCCTTGCAAGAAACCATCCGACCGCCCTTGCAAAGAAAAGCCGTGGTTGCAGTGGGCGTGGTTGGGCGTGGTTGCAGGGGGCGGGCGTGCAAGAGCCCTCCTGAAGTCTTCGGCCGGCGGTGGTGCCCTGACAGCTCGTGGAACGCAGTTTTTCACGAGCGGCAAGGCAAGAGTAGTGCAGCGGCGACAGCTCTTGACGTGTGCAAGAGTAACGTCTGACAGCTCTCGATGTGTGTTGTCCGAAAGCCAAATTCACGAGAGTGAAGTGCAGCGGTATGCAGCTCAGCTCATGGAAAAAGCACATTTGATGAGTAGTGCAGCGAGGCCCGATGAGCCTCGCCACACCGGCTGTGGAAATGTGAAAAAGACAAAAAAAATGTGGCGTGTGAATCTGGCCATGTTCTAGCGGGAAGTGGATTCTCATGTTGCACATTTGGAGAGTGGTGGGGCGATGCCCGATGTGTGCACGCATGAGCGTCTGCGCACACGCGCTGAATGTGAAAAAGACAAAAGCTATGGCGGCTGTATAGTTCCACGTTCTGGCGGCAGATACGTTCTGCATTTTGCACGTTTGGTGAGCAGTGCGGGCGAAGCCCCATGTGTGCATGCCCGGGTGTCCGGTGTTCTTGTGGCCTGATACATTGGGGGAAGGACAAGGGTGAGGGAATGCACTCACACAAGGGACTCTTTCGACTGAGCTCTGGATGTTATTTCGGCCAGATGCATCCACGTTTCCATCGTTGCGGCCAGATACATACTGGAAGGTGCCTGTGTGTCCGAGTATTGTTGCCCTAACTATGCAGAATCTCCTCTAGACGTTTTCGTTTTTCTTCTGTATGTTGGTTGCAGTTGATGGTATTGATGTTCAAAGAGCACGCTTACGTCGGACGTAATTGCGGTCAGATGCATCGAGATCTGGGTCTAATTGCGATCGGATACATCCATGCGTGTGAGTATGCCGTAGGTGTCGATGACTGATTCCCTGTGCCGCTTTGACGCTTCAAGCATCTGCCCGGGTCGTCAAGCTTCTCCTCTTCCTCTTTTCCTCCCCGTCTCTCTGTCGTCATTTTCCTGTTCGCCGCTCTCCTCCTCCTCGTGTTTCCTCTTCTTCTTCGGGCGTCGCCACACCACTCGAGAAATGTGAAAAAGACAAAAATGTCGCTGATGCATCTGGCCATGTTCTAGCGGAAAGCTCATTCTCATCTTGCACATTTCGAGAGTGGTGTGGCGATGCCCTTCTTCTTCTTCTTCTTCTTTTCTAATAGAGAAAACACTGTTCATTCATATTGCAAACAATTGAATGGAGGCCGGCGACCTCACAATTCAACCCGGAGTTATGCTGCGCGTGCCCTCTCGCACGCCATTCATTCATTCATTCATTATTCATTCCTCGGTTACGATAGCAGTGTTTGATGAGATGTTTAGCTCATTCGTTCCTCGGTTAAGACAGCAGTGTCTTGTGTTTCCTGTAGCAGTGTTTTCTGTTTGCTGTGACTACGACGTGGTCGATGACTACGGCGTGGTCTTCTTTGAACTGAACTTGCTCTCGCCGAGGCCGTTCATTCATTCATTCCCATCGCTGCCCGTGCTGCGCGATCTGTTTCCTCCCGTCAAAGAGAGAGCTTGCTTGCGCCTTGGTGGGTTGCCTCACCCGCATTCCCCTTCTCTCTCTCTCTCTCGCTCGCACCCCCTTTTTTTGGTCTCTCTCACACATTTCTCTCTCTCTCTCTCACACATTCTTTCTCTCTCTCTCTCTCTCACATTCTTTCTCTCTCTTTCACAGTTTCTCTCTGTCACATTCTTTCTCTCTCTCTTTCATATTC